TGGTGATGGTGGTGGTGATGGTGATGATGGTGGTGGTGGTGATGGTGATGATGGTGGTGATGGTGATGGTGATGATGGTGGTGATGGTGATGGTGATGATGATGGTGATGGTGATGGTGACAGTGAGAGCCACTACTTCAGGTGGACACACACGACAGGCTAGAGTGTTGGGCTTTGCTCGTGGCTGACTGTGTGACCCTGAGCCGTTGGCTTCCCTTGTCACCCACGCTATCTGTAAAACTGCACCCATTGCCCATCCCTCCCATAGGCTCGCTGCAGGGTGAGCTGGGTGAAGCCCATGCCCAGTGCCCGGTACACGTAGTGAGTGCTTGGTGAACGCGGCTCTCAGCGTGAACCGTGATGTCACCTCTGCTCTGTTTCCTTTATTCTCAATCATCCTGGTGTCCTGAGCTGGTGTGTTCCTAGGAAGCCCAGATCCCGGGCTGGGCGGGAAGGGCCTGTGGCCATGCCCACTGGGCTTGTGTCCCTCCCACCTCCTCCCTTCCCCCCACTGGGTACCCGGCGTGAAGTTGTCCAGGGGTCGTGACACACAGAGCTCCCACAGGAGACGGACCCCTGGGCCCCCAGCTGAACTGCGCAGGAGAGGGATGCGAGGCACCATGTCATGGCCATCCTGAAACAGTGTCCCCAACCTGGGTGGACACCAGGCACAGGGATCAGCTTGGAGGAGCCCACTTGCTGCCTGACAGGGGCTGTCCCCCGTGTGGGGGTAACCCTGGCCGAGCAGCAGGCGGACGTCCAGCGTTCCCAGGGGGGCGTGTGACTGAGTCCCTGGGTCCCCTACAGACTCAGGACCTTCAGACCAAGGCCGGGAGCCTGATGTGTCCACCTTGCCTTTCAGGGACCTGGATGGCAAGTCACACCGAGCTCTGCCCCTCGGCGGGGAGAACGACCGCGTCTTCAATGACCTGTGGGGCCAGGGCGGCGCGCCCGTGGTCCTCAACAACCCCTACTCCGAGAGGGAGCAGGTAAGTGGGGCTGCTGGCCCCGCCCCGGCCTCTCCCGGTAGGAAGCAGAGGGAGCGGATGTAGCCCTGTTGAGAAGGAGGCCAGAGGCCCTGGCTGCAGAGCCGGAGGCCGGGCCAGGGGGCTCAGCCGGGGTGCAGATCTGGGGTTTGTTTTATTTGATTGTGAGCTTGCCACTTTTCCGATGTTAATTCTGTTTCTACCGGGAAAGGCATTTGTGTGATTCCACATTTAAAAGAGATCAAAGATGCATCATGATACTTTCTCTCCCTTCACCTCACCCAGCTTCCCTCCCCAGACGCCAGCAACACTACTAATTTTTCTGTGTTCTTTAGCAACATCTTATGCTTAGACAAATGTGCACACACCTACTCTTTTTGTAATTTTGTGTAAGAGCCCATGACACCTATTATCTTGCCCCTTGCATTCTTACTTATCCACATGTCTAAGGGATAAATCCCAAGTAATCAAGTCCTGTGTTCTTTTTGATGACTGCATACTACTCCAAAAGGAAGTCCTTCGTGGCGGATACTTGGCTCATTGCCAGTCTTGTGACAGTGCTGTCGGATAGAACATTGTGCCGATACCTCATGTGGCACACCAGTGGGTTTATCCATAGAATAAATTCCTGTGCGTGAAATTGTTGAGTCAGAGGACATG